TATATAAGAATATTATATAATCTAATTTTGGAAATTTTTATATGTGTCTATTAATTTGTATGTATTTACATTTTTATCTTAGTAAATCTTTTACTCATACAAATAATTTTATTTGCATACTAAAGAAATTTTTTGTATGACTTATATAATTATGTACATTAAATAAAACTTAATAATTTATAATAGAAATTTTCTTTTTATAAATGAGTGCAATTGCTTGAAGTCATTATAAATTTGCTGCAACGAGTTCATTAATTCCATGAAATAGCATGTGATGAATCGAAAGTGCCTTATCTGCATGAAAGCGCAGTCTATTCACGCCAAGTTAAGTTGGCTTCTTACCAAAACATTCATGCCATTTTCTTTGATGAATGTAAAGAAATGAGTATATTACATTCTATCATCATAATTTTTATAAAATTGTAAATTGCAAAAATAATACTTTTTTAAATTTTATTATTTTTATATGGATATATTAATCTTTATAAACATAATTATAAAAAGAAGTGTTATTACCACAAATATCTTAAAATCAAGTTTAAAAGTTTAAAAATATTTATATTATAATTTATATTGTAACAAAATGAATAGATGTAATAGATATAATATATTTATGGATGTAATATATTTATAGAATACATCGATTGACTAATATAATTTTTAAGATTTGTTCACCGTATAGAGCGAATCGTAAAGAGTGATTCCTTATTTTGTGATAAAATCTTTTGGGCGATTATCTTACAAAAAGATACCGATTATTTCACGTGAAAGAACTATTTGATTAAAGCTGCTTATAATTTATGGCTTTATATCAAAACTGTGAAAAAATCTAGAAGTGACATATAGAACAATTTGTGAATAGCAAGAATTTATTCTTCCAGTAACAAAAAGATTTGTGACTAGTGAATAAACATTTATAATATATTAGCGTGAGAAGGCAAGTTTTATATGAGGTCATTTTTCTCATTTATGGCGTGAAATAAATTTCCTCAAATCCTTGGTCGTGGAATGCTAGATCGGGGAAAGAGCAGACATACAAATACGATGAGAAAGAAAAATTGCATCGCACGGGATGAATCGCGTGTTCGTCCAAAATTTGCTTTTTCATCGGACAATGGAGAAACGCTTTGAATTGAAAGCTCTCTCTTGTCAGTTCGTACAAAGGTCAGTGTCCGTGTAACAAGCAGTAGTCTGCTAGTAACCCCAGCGAACTTAATAAAAATTAGTTTCGTTCTTGATGCCGTTAAGACGTCATTTTATTGTTGCTGAGACGGCCACTCGGTTATCGAGGTAATTCGAAGAAACAAACAGTGTCTGTAGATCTTGAAATAAAATTATTGTCCTCGATTCTTCAATTAATGTCTTTAAGAATTTATTGTTATCCTAAAATCTTTCTTTTGCTCCTTGCGGTACAAAATATGTATTAATCACTGAGAAAAATGGTTTTATTATATTAACAAAATTCTTCTGGTTGACCGTATTTTAGTCGAACGAAACAGAATTTCTGGTTATCGTCACAAAATTTTACACCTTATATCAACACCGTTTGGTTAACTTTACTATAAGGATTTGAATAAGTGTTTTCTTGTTGGATCTACAAAACTTCTTGTTATATTTACATAAATCGCAGCGCTCTGCAACAGTTTCGTCATTACTCACTAAACGGTTGATCAACTGTTCGCCGCATTCATTTGTTACACTGCTACTGCGCCCTCGCTACTCGCGGCGTGTATCGCGCGCATTAGATCTTTCGCGAAGCAATGGCGTTAAGCAGTCGGAACAGTCTCAACTGAGCTCGCTAAAGTTTTACGTCGCGTCGTGGAATCCATTACGGAATATTAGTTAGGCCGATGGCAGAGAACGAGAAGTAAGCACTTATGTCTGTCGTAGACGTCTGTCGTGGACGTATGGTAAGGCAGAGAAAAACGTAAGTCGTGAAAGGTTATTAAATATGTGTGGAAACGACTACGACATACATAAGTTTTTACGTCTCGGTCTCTACCATCAGCCTTACATCCGAAAAGTTTTATGATCACGTGGTTGTTTTTTTTTTTTAATGAAATATATGTATACCAGTTATGTAATGTTTCCTACCGGGCTCGGGAGCCGGGAGCCCGGTAGGAAACATCACATCACTGAGTATACTTTAAACCAAAATATATTGTTAGTATTTTACAAAAACCACACCTATCCGAACTTGTTTTTTAACTACAAAGTTGTGTTAACCTAACAAAACAATGTGGTAAGGTTTACAAGAAATTCTGGTAGAGTTTTGTAAATCTAACAACACGATGTAGTAAGGTTTACAAGAAATTCTGATAGATTTAAACAGGATGAAATTTAACAAAATCTTCTGGTAATTCCAACAACAAATTTGTTTCGTCCATTTTTGAACAAACGTACTAGTAGAATCAACCAGAATTTCTTATAATACAACAAAACTTTTTTTCCAGTGATCAAATAAAATATTGATGCTTCTTGCTTGTTTTATTAATATTACATTCATTCATATTATATCGCGATATGTATATATATTAAATTGATAGACTAATCGTTAACTGTAAAAAAATAATTTATTAATGAGCTTAATTACTGCTGTAAAGGTTTCTCTTGAAAGAATGAAGACGTTATAACAAGTGTTGATTATACAGCTAAGAAGAATTGCGTTCAATGCACAACGTTTTCTGATGTGCAACGAGAGTGAATTTTATGCTTATCTCTTATCGTGATGGTGCGAAGTGTGAAGGAAAAAGTTGGCCAAGTTTCACTATTGCTTAAAACGGAATTTTTGCAAAGGGCAACTAGCGAAGCAAAAAAAAATGAAAGTAAAGTTTTCCATCATTGCCCCGAAATATACATCCGAAATACATGGACGTGAGGTTTCTTTTATCAAATATAAAAGGTTACAAAGCAAATTTGAATCAATGATTTCCCCATTGCTCGTGACCTATTAAATTTTAATTGTGAAACAATATACAGGGTGTCCGATAATTGCTGAATCACCTCTCGGGTGTAGGTAAAGCGGTTTAAACCGAGTAGAAAAGTCCTGTATCATTTTGCGATTTTCGCAATAATTAATGAGGAATTAATTAAAAAATATCGGCCAATTTGCGCAAGTTTAAGAGCGCGGCGAGAAGAGACCCGTGGCGATACAGCCCACTGTTATTTGGTTACTAGGCGCGCGATAAATCGTTGGGAGGAGCGCTCTACAAATGACAACGGCACATTCGAGCGGTGTGTAACGCTAGATCCTTGCGTCCTAGCAACTACGTAACAACGGGCTATCTCTTCTCGCCGCGCGCTTAGACTTGCGCAAATTGGCCGATCTTCTTTAATTAATTTCTCATTAATTATCGCGAAAATCGCAAAACGATAGAAGACTTTTCTACTCGGTTTAACCCGCTCTACCTGCACCCGAAAGGTCAGCAATTACCGGACACCCTATATATGTATAAAAGAAAGCCAATATCTATAAATTGAATTAAATCTAAAACTTTATATTACCTTAAATAATAATGCAAGGAAAACATTTGTCGAATTTTTATCTTTATATCTGGCTTGCATTATTATTCTACTTCAAATAGATCAGCGCTCAAAATTAGTTGCACATTTCGGGCCGATTCCCGAGACGATGCCTCCTGTTCCCCCACTACCGCCCGGCCGCTGGCGGCCGAGCCGCCGATAGCTCTGGCTCAGGAGCGTTTTAGATAAGAAATAGGCTGGGTTGTTGAGGCATTTCTCAGAAAATTGTAACATTTTCTTCGCTACATACATAATGTTTATTTTCATTAATAATTAAATATATATACATATATTATAAGGCTTTTCACATTATTCTTTCTGGATTCGCGGTTTTATCTTACGCATGTTATAGAACAAGAAACGTGGAAAAAATTGGTCGCTTTTACTATACGTGCATTCGATTCAATTAAGTTTATTGAACCTATTTATCAACGCATAAGTGTGCTTTGTCAAAGATATCGGATTACCGCTAATGGGATACATGCTTCTACAATGGACGGGATGCGAGCGATGACATCCGACAAAGAAACTCGACTTTCAATTGCCATTCATTTATTACCGACCGAGATGTGTTTGTGTGGCGCTATGCGAATCTCGTTTCCTTTATTCAAGTTTAGCCAATTGACATAGTACAGGGCTCGGAATTATTTCATCTTTTCGGCCGATTCTCGTGATATACGCCTCCTTTCCTCTCCTTACCGCGCGCGCAGCAGCCGCTAGGACCAGCGCCGCCGAGCGTTAGGAGCAGCGCTATCCGATAAATGTTGGGTTCTTCTCCCTTGATCATTAAAAATTAAAAAAATTTATTAAGAATATTTTTAAAATCAATAATATTCGAAAGGAGCGTAAAGAGCCAACAGCCGGATATTCGTGCGAAGGTTATCGTATATTAGTTTATAACCATTAAACATTTACATTAAAAACAAACGTTTCAGCCTGTCATCAGGCCTTCATCAGTATTATTACAGAAACCAATAAACCGCAACGCATTAAATAAATACAATATAAGAAGCAAATTAACATAATTAACCGAAGAGTAGTTCAACCACTTTAGAATTGTAGTAAAGCACTTGTAGAAAGCTCATCCACCCAAGATGGAACGAGGTAGGAGAGAAATCTTAGATCCATATTATATGATGGTTGAGATCTTAATTAAAAATATTTTTTTTATTTTGAAATTTATTATGTGGAAATATTTCAATAGATTTCCACGTCACCCATGAGGTACTATTGCTATTGAAGAAAAAAATATTCTTAATAAATTTTTTTAACATTAATCGGATAGCGCCGCTCCTAACGCTCGGCGGCGCTGGCTCTAGCGGCTGCCGCGCGCGCGGTAAGGAGAGGAGAGGTGGCGTATACCATGAGAATCGGCGGAAAAGATGAAATAATTCCGAGCCCTGACATAGTATATTGCCATAGTCAGCATTAATATAATGATAAATATTTTCTAACATTTATGCATTTAATTGTTACAGGCCTCCATGGATCTGCCACCGGACAAAGCGAAGCTTTTGAAGCAGTATGACAATGAGAAAAAGTGGGACATTATATGCGACCAAGTGAGTATCTATTACATTAAAAATACCCACATAAGTAACCAAGTATTTATATAAATTCAAATATACATGTGTATATACAATATATATATATATATATGGGTGCAGTTCCGAATAGGTGAAACGCCCGATTGTTTTGAAACTCCACTATTTTATGTAGTTTGGCGCGCTGATTACGAATATGATAATGAAAATCGCCGACTAGGTCATTTTCAAGGTCAAAACAAGGTCAGAAAAGTGAAAAAATATCACTTTTGAGATTATTTCGAGAAATATTGATGTAACAAAAAAAGTTTCAAATAAAAGTTGTAGTTTTTG